CCCGGAAGCCACCCCTCCACCCCCGAAGTCCAAGGCCTATACATGCAGATCGCGACCCCAGCCGCTCCAGGGACTAACACCGAAGATGACGAGGAAGAAAGCATCACGCTGACGGTCGTCCCGCCCACCGGTGCAGAGTACACCGGCAGCACGGCCACAGCCACCGCCCCCTCCGCCGAGGATGCGATGGAAGACCAATCCGAGAAGCCGGAGGAGACGCCGACGCAGATGATGTATGCGGCTGTATCGGCGTGTTCGAATCTACATCCCGATCCGATGGAGCAGGGCGAGGAGGGGGACGGCGACGAGGACTCGCTCATGCAGTCCGGTTTCGTGACGATGGGGAGTGCGGATGGGGGGCTGCCGCCGCCTATGGATGGTAGTTCTGGGTGGATCACGGCGGAGAATATGCATGAGTATTTTGATGAGGAGGGGAATTGGATTGGTGGGGGTGAGGAGCCGTCGCTGCCTCTTGGGCCTGGGGCGGGGACTGTGAGGCTGCGCGAGGATGAGGGCGCGGAGGGTGGTGAGGAGCAGGGTGAGGACGAGGAGACTAAATGGAGGAGAACGGATTAGTTGTTGCTTATGAGACAAATTGTGTTGCCAGGGTGCAAGGCAAATTCTCTTGCAATATATGTGGGTTGGTAAAAGTATTCATGCTTCTACTGGTGCTATTTTGACTCCATGGGAAACTACCTAGACCACGAGAAAAGTGGCGAAAAGAAAGACACTATGCTACACAATTGGATCAATTCAAGCTGCACCTATCTAACACGCGGATATTAAGCAGTCCGCAGGGATACCTAGAAAGCTATCAAGCAAGGAAAGAAACAAGAACCCGCCAAAAAAATTGACCATATAGACTCCGTAAGCTGCTAACCAAGCAAAGCAGATTCGACTATTCTTTTAGAAAACCGTCTCCATCGTATAAACTTCCAGGAGTTGCAGCGCCGATTCCGAGTCCTATTGTCTTCCCAGTAGGCGTCGTGATGCCTTGTTTGGGTGTTTTTTGGCTTGACTTGCGCGACATCCTGTCATCTGACGTTGTTTTCTGACTGCCTTTGCGACCGATTTTCTTTGGGGATGATGCAGAACCCTTGGGCTGGGTTGTACGAGCTATAGGCTGAGCCATTCGTTCTGTATCATTGTCTTCCCAGATGGTAACCATATTGCCGCTGCGCGTGCTCGGCGTTTTGTGCACGCCGCATGAGAGATCCTCTTGGTCTTGCTGCTGCGGAATGTTGTTTTTGTGGTTGCAATGATGCGTGTTGTCAAGAGCGGCAGCGTCACTTTCGTCGTGTGGCAAAAGATCCTTAGCAGTAGCAATATCTTTGCTACTGCTGTGCGGCCTCAAAGAAAGAGGGCGATTGCTTGAGGAGCCTTGTTGTGTCGAAGAAATACCGTTCTCCTCGAGAGGAACTATAGAGGGAGGGTTGTTGTTGTGCATCAGCTTACTTGGCTGTATGCGTGGCCCCTTGACTGCCGAACGACGCGGACTAGTTTGCGGCGATGCATTCTCGCGGGATGTCGGCGAGCTTGCGTGGACGGGAAGTACCCAGGCTGGGGCATTCTTTTCGGGAGACGGTGTCTGTGATAGAGAACCATCGTTGCTGGACGGTAGAGATGTCATGATTTCTGGTAGAGTCTTGTCGTTCCCCGCAGGGCTCAGGAAATCGTCGCTCGAGTCAGCTCTGCTATGCTTTCTTTTCTTAGTTGGACTTCCGTAGGGAGTAGAGGAGACATCCATGATTCGTGGCCGGGGCCTTTGGAAGTCGTACGAGTTATGTTTGTTCGCGGAGAAAGTGACAACACTTGGATTGATCGAGGGAACATTGTAGCTAGTCGGACCAGGAGCCTCTGGTCTGCGCAGGCTCAGGTCTTCCAACTCCTCGGGCTCTTCGGCCATTGGAGAGAACGCAGGACCCCCAAAGGTGATGGGAGGGTGGATTGAGATTCTGACGCAGTTCTGACGCCTGTGGCCTTTTCGATGACCATGGGTACCCTTCAAGGCGGAGGTCAATGGTGGCTTAGAAGCATTGTCTGAGCTAACCTGTGTAGAGATTTCTGGCACATAGAGACTGCTAACCCTCCTTGCGGGGGCTCGAGGGGGGTGAATTGAGATATGCGAACTCGTCAGGCCACCGTAGAAAGGATCCCCATCGGTATGCCTACTTGCGTACATGGAGTGCCGCTGCAACTGACTGAAGTAAGGCAGCAGCGAGCCGCTGTGGCCTGTTGCACTCAGATGCGGGGTCATGTTCGGGTCTAGGTGCGGCATGGAGATGACCTCCTTTCTGGACTGATTGGAGCAAAGAGATTCACTTCTCCTTGGAGGAGGGCTGACGCGCTCTGTTTGGCTAGGACTGCGTGCAGTCAAGCTGCGGCGAGGCGACGTACGGTTTGGTTCCAGCCTCAGAGCTTCACGAGTAGGCGATGTGGCAGGAAAGATGAATGGTGCAGGATATGCTGAGTTTGATGCTGCGAAATTTCGCCGCTCGAATTCCATCCGGCCGACATCGTTGGCGCTGAAGGGTGTGAAAGTTGGGCAGGGAGGCAGTGCTGGTGAAGTGAAATCACTCTCGATAGCAGTTGAAGTTCTCCGGCTGTCGTCCAAGATGGAGCTGTCCGCCGTCTCGAGACTCAACGATGAGAACCGCATCGAATCGTTCTTCGAAAGGCGGAATCGGTTCGGGGGATAAGCAGACGGCGGGGGCGGCACCGGCTGTTCTGGGATGGCACCGGCTGTCTGGGTCGTAATGCTTCCACCTCGTACTCGAGTAAAAGGAAGCTCGAACCCTTCATGATGGTCTTCCATAACTGGGAAGAGGTTGCCCGAACGCTCTCTCCTATGCATCAAAGGCATCGCCGCTGACAGGGGCCGGATTGATGGTTCGGCAATGCTTCTTTCCTCTGCCTTTTCCGGTGTGTGTCTGGGTGTCATCTCTGTCGGTAATTCAAGGGCACCTTCGACTGCCGAGACGGATACATGGTCTTTGGCCCTGGACGCTTTATCACAGGGTCTCTCGGCTGCCTCTGCAAGTGGAGCAAGGGGACTCGGAGGCCGAGGTCTGAGCAGACCTTTCAGCTGCCGGGTTGATTTTGATCGTGAAAGCGAACGGCGCAGCGAACGAGCCTTTTCAGCGAGTTGAGAAGAAGCTTCTGAGTCCACGATGGAATAAGCGAGGCTTTCTCGACTGGCTAAAACGCCCCATTCATTTGGCTTTCCGTATGGTAGTTGTCCGTATAGTCTCAGCGCAGAACCCTCCTCCCGGGACAGTGATGTCGCCGTATCGGCTTCGAATGCTTGCAACTGCCTAGCGTACCGACCTTGACCCGCACTGACTGCTTTTAGTGAACGTCGCTCCCCGCGGGCTTTTATCCAGACGAGTGTTCCCACCACCACGGAGACCATGAAAAGGGCGGCGCACACAGCAGCCACCGCGATCACGGTGGCCAACGCCGGCATCGTCAGTCGCCTTCGTCCGTTGCGTCAAAGTGAGCAGACACTGATGCTGAGAAAAGCTCAAGGCTGCCCGGACCTTTTCATCGCTTGTTCCAGTGACAGAAACTGCTTAGAGGTGTCTGGATCTGATGTCCGTGAATGGATGGGAAGCAGACCAGGAAACAAGGGCAACACCCCTGTGGGCGACAGGTTCAGAAGGCAGAAGAAACAGGTTCAGTGCAGAATGGGAATTGTGGCGCCCCGGGGGATTGTGCGTTTGTTAAGGGGAAATCAAGTTGAAGCAGAGGAATGTGGCCGCATTACGGCGGACGCGCGGAATGCTCGTCATAGTACGAGCTGACCCTCATCTTGTAATCAATGCAGAAGATGAGACACTTGATCCGTACGGGCTTGGGCAGTAAACATCCAGGTCACATCACGGTAAAATCCAACCCACAGAGTCATGTTATAATGGTCTCTCAGGAAGAAGACCTGTGGTCGTGCTGGTGGTTAGGCAAACTGGCCTGTCCATTATGGGGGGCAGAGCAAGGCCAGAATCGGACATTTCTGATATCCAGGATAATTTCTCGAGTTGATTGGATGGCACAATCGTGTCAGGAATGATCATCTGTGTTGTTCCCATATTGTAGCTGTGTCGTCTCGCAACTGGTAGAATCGTCGTTGTCTGAGAAAAAAGTATGTGCACTCGCAAGGCCGTCAACTTGACAATTATTCCAATCCTGGTCAGAGCCTGTCCAATATGAAATGATGACTCGGTATGCGGAATCATAGCAGGCCAGAGTTTCCACCTGGCCCATTGTTGTTGTTGTTTTCTTTTCGGCCTTATCAGTACAGAAGCTCAAATCTGGAAGCACGTGACTGGCGGCTGTCCTAAATCCGTAATCCGACACTCCGAATCGGGAGGGGCACGCACGGGACTCAGATCACGGGGAAAAGACCCACACCATCCAGTCTCCCCCCTCAACGCTCTTGTCCTTCTTTTCTATCCTCATACTGACTGTTCAGGAACCAGCAGACGAGCATTCAGTATTGTGGCAATCGAAAACGCTGATATCGGGAGATCATGCATCACTCTTTCACTCCTGAAATGAAGACTGACATCACAGCTCCAGAGGTCTCTCTATATCCATAAGATGATTCTCTCCTCAAGAGCAATCCCGCGGGTTATGTTCAGCCACCCGCATTAACACCGTGTCGGGCTGGCTGCTCTGGGGCCGCATATCGTCATATGAATCCAGTCGATCCACTGGGGCCAGACGCGGCCCTGAACCGAGCCCCCACTGAGCTGCTGGAGGCCCGTTAGCAGCTCCGACTACCTTTAGGACGCATGTACGGACGTGTTGGATTCTGGAAGGTCCAACAATGTGATCAATAACCTTTTTCCAAATGATTTATCATGAAGACGGAGGAGCAGCAGTGTTATCCTTTCTGACCCCCACCATCCTATCACACCGCAAAAGGGGTCTCAATAGCTTGATGTTATTTCCATAGCTTCCACTCCGCCTATATAATTAGACCGCTGCTCTTTTCTGTTTATTTCAATTCCTCTTTCTCCCTTCTTTTCACCTAGCCTTCTTTCAATAAATTCTCATTTATTCCCTTTCTATTCCATTTATCTTTCACAATGGCGTCCAACCCTGTGAACCAGAGTGGTCTTTTTGTCCATGAAAACACATCCGCCCCTGAACATCCCAGCTTGATGCAGATGTTCTCTCTCAAGGGCAAAACCGCCATTGTCACGGGTGCCGGTGCTGGTATTGGTCTCGCCGTGGCTCAGGGTCTGGCTGAAGCAGGTGCCAACGTTGCCATGTGGTGGAGCACCAACGCTAAGTGTCCTGAGCGGGCGGCTGAGGTTGCTTCCAAGTATGGTGTGCAGAGTGAGTACTTTACAGACCTTGAATTGATTCTTGTCGAATAGATGGAACGCTGAGAATCTAACTTTTCACAGCCAAGGCTTACCAGGTCGATATTACAAACGCCAAGGCTGTCCAGGAGGCTGTTGATCAGACTGTGAAGGACTTCAATGGCCGTCTGGACGTCTTCATTGCCAACGCGGGTATCCCCTGGACCAAGGGACCCATGGTTGATGGGCCTCTTGATCACTACTCTAGTGTGGTTGACATTGATTTGAACGGTACTTTTTACTGCGCCAAGTACGCCGCTGTTCACTGGAGGAGGCAGAAGGAGGAGGGAACCGATATCAACGGCAACAAGCTTTCCAACTTTACATATGGTAGCTTTGTGGCCACCGCCTCCATGAGCGGCCACATTGTGAACTTCCCTCAGATGCAGGCTGCCTACAACGCTGCCAAGTCTGCTGTGATCCACCTCTGTAAGTTTTGGCAGGTTGAATTGACATTCATGAACGGTGCTAATACAGTTCAGGCAAATCTCTTGCCGTAGAGTGGGTCAAGTTCGCCCGTGCCAACACTGTCTCTCCCGGCTACATCGCTACCGAGATCTCAAACTTCGTGCCCAAGGAGACCAAGAGCATCTGGAAGGACAAGATCCCCATGGGTCGTGAAGGTCGTGCTGAAGAGCTGAAGGGTGCCTACCTTTACCTGGCTTCGGATGCTGCCAGCTACACCACCGGTGCTGACCTCGTTGTCGACGGTGGTTACTGCGCACCATGAAGAAAATTTGGTCGGGTTTTTAGCATTTCCTTACTTTTGGGTGGCATTTGATGAGGATAAAGTATATACATGATAGACGAATGAACGAAAATCTTGGATATGCCATTTCAAGTGATTTTGAGGCTAGCTGATGGTATATTTCGTCAAGATTGTATTGACGTCAAAGCTCAGTCGCAGGAGTTGGGGTGAGGCCTCATTTCCAAAGCCACATGATCTTGCTCCAGAAATCATTGTGCCTCGTCTATGAGCACATCGACCTGGATGCCACCAAGCCTTACAGATTTAGTCCTTTGCACTGAGGCTGCTCGTAGCATACCCTGAATCAGACTAACGCCCGCGTGACGTTCCCACTCTGTTCTAACTATCTGCACTGCCTCAAGCGCGATATGACCTGTCTCTAACGTACACCGCCATGAACAGCTCATGAACACACCGTTCTTTCATGCATGACCTATCGCAGATTCGACGCGTTTGACGGCTCGATCCACAAGACGATCTATCGACGCAGTCAGACCTCGCCCGTTGTCGATGCGATGCTGGAGGTCCCGTTCCCACGTCACCATTGGCGGAGAGGGAGGCTCGAGGATGTGCTCGTGAAGTACGGACGTTTGCGGATCAAAGTATTCGGCTAGAGGGGTTGCGGGGAGGTCGAATTGGGAACCTTGATCACCGTCGCTGGCAGCTTCCGAAGGCGAGTCTGGATCGATTGAGTTCATGTCAATCGCCTCCTCGCTGTACAGGTCAGCAAGCAACCTGAGAGGCTTTTGGGCTTAACGCTCACATTCTGGCCGCGGTCTCTGGATTCCTGACTCGGACGTAGCTCCACCGCTGGCGCCAATGCCTCGGATGGCAGAGTGACAAGGTACGTGATATGATCTTCCAGTGTAAACAGAGCACGAAAATGCACGACAGGAACAGGCAGATGGCCGGGAAGAGATTGACAGATGATGATTCGGACATGACGGTCCTGGCTTCTGGCAGGTAGGAGCTGTCGAGACGTGATCTGGAATTATGCTTGATCTGCATTCGCAGGCCCATCGCTTCACTGAAGTCTGAAGATTGGGACATTCACTCAGGCAGTATGCATTCTGCCGATCTACCCAGTTGTGTCCAGTCATGCAACACTTCAACTCTGTGCGTTGCTGATACATGTGACTCGAATTCAGATGAGAGTATGGGTTATGCTTGACTCTCGCTGAGTAATGGTAGTGATCCGGCCCTTTATGTCTATAGCTGCAATCACAGGTGAGATATATCTGTCCTCTGAGGTAGTTAAAGATTCCGAAGTCGCTGTTCATAAACCCACACGCTTAATCCAGCCAAGTGCTATATATCCTACCATGACGGCCTGTACAAATCTTCTCTTGTTGTAGTTCTACATCGGTTTCCAGCCAGTTGCTCCAGAAGTCTACTTGTTCCAGATACTGCTCAAGGGAGATGAGACTGTGTCACTGAAACAGAGATCTGAGGTACTCAAGATAGCTCTGAAGAGATCCCAACTCCTGGACAAAAAGCAAACCAACAAGTGCATAACCACATACTATATCTTTCATTGAGAGACCTCCCCGCCATGTTTCATCTCACCAAACTCCCCACTCTCAATCAGAAACAGCCATCCTTATCATGTTTTCCATGACTGCAGATAAGTGTAATATCAGAGAGACAAATCCATTGTCTGAGGTGTGAGGGATAGTTAATATCTAGGGCATGTGACAGTATCAACCCCACGCATCAACTGACTCCCAAGAATGTATTCCCCAGCTCAAACCCATGACTACAACAGGAATAAGACTGACTCAAATCAAATGATGGAGTCACATTTCCCACACACAAATATGAAGACGTCATTGTCGCTGTCTCGTAGCATTATCGTGCAGCATCAAGACTGCATATATAAATAAGCTGGATCCTGATCCATCCAAAGTACAAGAAGAACCAACCACTCGGAAGAAATAGCTCGCCCACAAATGCAAAATGCCAGACCCCGAAGAGCAAGAAATGGCAAGTCCATCCAAAACACCAACTCCCCCAATGCAATCTCAACTAACGTAGACTACATCCAAAGAACCGCTCCCTCAACGAAGCCCTCCACTGCACAACCTGCAACCTCGCCCGGCTCCCCCGCCCATCCCTGCCCACCGCACTCGCCACAGGCCTCTACAATCC